TGAGAAACTGCAATGTTCTGATGAGTTTTTCTGGACTGGAAAGGGAAACGCAAGAATGTTTTTAATGCAAGATATTCTAGCTGGTAGGAGTTACACTGTGTATGAGAACATACGTTTTTGTTTTCTTGTCTGAGAGGGTGATGGATCCTGATGAGCTGAGGGAACAGATTTATCCTCCACCAGGTGYAAGGCAAACTAGAAAACATAGTTTCCTCAAATGACCGAGGGTTCCGGTTAATATACAGTGGACAATGTTGGCCAACTTGAATTATGATGTGACAACCCAAATTTTGCTAGGAACCTTTCTTGCMTCTAGATGCAGCCACACACCAAAATGGCCGTCAATATCTCACTTATTTTTCAAGTTATCCAGCYCACAAGATAGACAGATGAACGGAAAGTGTTTCCAGTTTCACACTTTGCAGCGTGAGTCCAGTAAGCAGTCACTCTGTGTCATTGCTCCTCATGACTTTATGAAATTACCATTTCTATCTTTTTTCTCCCCAAGGAAATACATAAAACCACTAAAGACCAGGCATTCCTTGAAGGAATGCRTATCACCCATCGTGCATGGTCCGTCTAATGATTCAAAAAGAGCTGTTTTAGTCAAAMCTTGTGAATAACGTTATGCACAGTCTCATGTGATATTCTGGGATGTCACAGCTAAGATCACACCAAACTTACACCAAATATCCAATTGAGTTACGTGCACTTTTGTGTTGTTGTCCGAAGTTGATTGGCCATCTTAAATTGCATTGACTCCAAAAGCTAAACAGCTGTTGAAGTACTTCCAGTGATTACTTGCAAAAGGTTGCATTAAAATCCATCCAGTGGTTCATGAGATATTCTGAAAACAGACACATGACCATCCAACCTTCTTCAAAAAGCTTCTTGTTTTTTTCCTTCAGCCTTATGACTGAAGCACATGGTGACAATTTCACGTTCTGATTCTCAGAAGCCAGAAGGAGAAACGTTCTTCCCTCGCTCAAACCCATCAACTCACTCTCATTTCAGATCTCTAAAGGTGAAAACCAGCGGATATGGACAGGTAACTCWGACACCTGCTACTTTTGATACTTTTTTTCAAAATTTTAAATCCCTTTTGTTCATCCGCTTACCAGAAAACATCCTACATGGACTCTAACGTGTCTTCTTATGGTCTTCCCAGTTGTGTTGGGGACAGCAGGTACGTCTTTCAGCTCATCTTTACGACTTATAAATGAGTATTTTTGTGGCAYATGTTTTCAAACGTGTTTATTTTTTTCACCAGAAAATGTTGCAGGGAAGCTAATTTTCTACCAAATGGAGGGAAATGCTATATATGTGAGAAACACAGGAGAGCTGGCATCAGGAGTTCCCACGGAGACAATGTTCGAACTCTTTGATCCCCTGAAGCGTCTCAGCTCTGCGGAGTTCACTTATACCTGGGACTTAGGGAACGGGTACCAGACGGGTTACCATTCTGATATTCTCCAGAGTTCTGTTGTTTTCAATATTTTAAACTTATTTTATTTTCATTGATGCAGAGAAGTGATTCGTGGGACAGAACCAGTTGTCCGCTATCATTACTCAGAATCAGGGAACTACACCATGCAGCTGAACGTTGGAGCGACTGTGAGCAAAACTGCACCTCCGATCACCGGAGTCTACTCCACGGACGTTCAAGTCCTCGGTTAGTTATTTGATGTTTCATTCAGGCAGTTTGTTGCAGCTGGAAAACTAAAATGTTTTATTATGTTGTTTTTTCAGTCATATAT